CTCGTTTGTTTGCTGGTTTTATTGAAGAGTTCTTCACCAATGACTCGTTTACTTCCCTCCCAGGCGAGAACACGAATTTCCCCGACTTGTAAAAATATTCATGTTGATGGCACTCTGTTGCCATGACAACAAAAATAAATGTCAAGTGTGGTGGCAATTAACGTGACGAGTAGGTCTCAACAATAAATCTAATCATTCTTGCCAGTGTGTGTGAACTTCACCCCAGTGAAGTATCTTCAGAACAGACTGATGGGTGAAGTGGTTGTTGTTGTTTTGGGAGAATTATCGAAAGGTTAAAGTGTTCTCATTTCTTTGTTTTCTGAAAAGCAGTAGATCTTGAGATTTTTGTTTTGATAAAACTAATGTTCCCATGCAGCTCGCCTTCTATTTTTTTCTAGATAGTTTCCACACTGTACGCACTAAAACAACCTTGAATCTGTGAGGCCCGGGGTTTTTGTTTTTGTAAAGACACACACTGTAGTTTTCCTGATGGTTTAATTAAGTAAAATTAGGACTTTGTACTTTACTGAATTTTATTGCGTGATACCAGTAGATTTTTGTCCCCCAACACAACAGAGATGTTGTTAATGTTCCCTCAGTACAACAGGAACTCTTTGTTGCTGTATAGAAGAGGATGACTCAAGAAAGGCCAGCACAGACTGTTCACTCCTTATATGTCTGAGGAGGCACTTTGTGTCCATCTCTGTATTCATGCCAGAACAACTCCTCCACCACTGTCTGAATTTTTTTCTAAAGAGCTGCTTTATATCCGTTGATTTGTGCATCTTTTGTTGATAAAATTAAACGTTTTGTAAAGTGACACACTAAATATCATCTACCAGATAAAATATATGACTAATTGTTACATTTTTAGACTTGCATAACAACACAGGAGGTATATTCTGTAGAATGGGCTTTCTTGCTTTGGACCACATTTGGGTGCTTTTTTATTTCTTCATGCAAAACATTCTCCATAACATTTCTCACACACATACACACACTCATTTATTGACTGCACATAGCACTGCAGGCAGTGTGTCATCACCAAACGCAACAGGCTGCCAAGCCACAGTTTCTCCTTGTGCTACAGTCTTTTCCTTTTTTCCTCTACTCCTATTTTCTTTTTTTATATTCAAGATGATGCATATCATTTGCTTGTTGCAGCTTGTTTTTGAGGCTGAAGTGAAGCACTGTGGGCTAAATCACAGGTTTAACCAGATAGAATTAAAAAGTGGCAGCCACCTTTCACCCACATTTCTCTGAAATGTCAAATGAGAATTTGAGCTTTGTCAGTTCTGTGCATGGACACTTAGTGTACCTACAGGGAACATATATACTAATACACTGGTGAATCAGTGCAAAAGTACAGTATGCAAAATCAGTATGTTGTTTGTGAAAATGTCTCGATTATACACTGCTCTAGCTAGATAGTCAATTACAAGTGCTTATGCTTTGAGTACCTTATTTCATGCAGCATTACGGATAAGGATCACAGCTACATTTTGTCTTGGGTGGTTTTAGAGTGACCTATAAAACACCCAGCCGGTTAAGTGTTTGGCTTCATTTTGGAGACTGTGTGTGTGTGTATTCTGTGTCAAACAGATCCATCTTTCCCCAGAGCCAACTGTGCTGCTTACCTTATCAAAGCTACAATCTGTCAGCTAGTCTGCTCTTTGCTCTGCTGGTGCCTTTGGTCTAGACCTTTTATAGTAACAGTTTTTTCTACAAATCTCTTTTCTGGTTCACATCTAAAAGTTGTAAGACACAATTTCTATTTTAGGTTTTAAGTTGGTTTGAATGGCAATTGGTGGGTCAGTTTGGTGAGAAATGCTTTTGTTCACGTTTTATCAGTTGTTGCTTGTTGACGGAAGAGATGGGCTTTATGTTTGTTTATGGGTGTGGTTCTTCTTCCGTTCCTCCCTGTTTTTCCAATTTCCCTTTTCTGGTGACCACGGCTGAACATTTAAAAATAAGTGATATGTCAGTTTCTTGTGAGGAGATGACGAGTCATAGCAACCTGGATCGTATACAGTATAATTTCTACTCGTCTTTAACGACATAGAAGGCTGATTTAATGACAATGTTTAGCACTACTTGTAGAAAAGACTTTAATAGGTGTAGTGGCTTAATAATGGGTGATGTTAGAAAGAAACCATGAGAATGGAGGGAAGGAAGCGTGGACAGGGGTTATCAAGACGTAACTTGCAGGTGAGAAGGGTTTAGTTGGCAGATGATGTTAATGTGGGGTTGTAACAGGAGGTGGTGAGGCCATTTGGAGTCACATGACTGACAGGAAGCCCACTGTCACCTCGGTAACGAGAAGGGCAGCAGGCTCTTATCCAATCATGTCAAGAATGTTGGCTGTCACTCAACTAAGGCTATTTCTGCTATCTGTCACTAGTGCTCGCTCGAGCTGTACACAGATCTTATTTTTGTTTTTTCTTTCCTGTTTCTTAAACCTTCTCTCTGCCTGTGCTTGGAAAATGTAGCTGCGAGTTGTCCTTTGTTTTGAAGTTTATGTAGTGAGTCGTCTTTTCTCAGTATAGTTTAGTGTGGGAAGGAAAGTTGTGGAAAAGACTTGAAGAGGGTGGGAAGAGGAGGGGGAAGAGGGAGGTGGAAGAAAAGAAGGATCAGTCATCTAGCCAGCCAAAGAAGAGGTGGGTGACACAAGGAGAGGAGAGAAACGGCAAACAGTCGGAGAGTAATAAGTGAGAGTGAACTGGAGCTGTAGGACTTCAAGCGGAATATGGCACGACGACTGCGTTTATACTTTGGATCTGGCCGAAGTAACACAGCCCCGGAGATACTAGAGACAGACTCTGAGGAGCAGCATGAAGACGGTGAGGTAGCTGGAGCACTTTGCATGAACCCACCTTCGTTGTTGAGGCCTGCTCATGACTCAACTGTGCAACATGTCCCGTCAACAACTTTCTGTTTGCGCTCGGAGCCTATGCTTAAACGCAGCTCTTCCATGTTCATACCCCATCTCGCTACTTATTCAGAATCGCGCCCCACTAAGAGCTCATCCATGCATATTTCCCTCCAGCGGTCTAACGGATTAAGTAATAAAGAATCTGGTGGCCATGTTGATGATATCCCACCACCTTGTTATACTCCTCCTGGACCTGCGCCTGCATATAGTGAACCAAATATTCAAACAGACTTTCCACTCCAGCCGCCTCCTCCGTACTACAGCTCCGTTTCGTCAAACTCACCATCTTTTCCAACAGAACCAAACCTCTCAAAACGCAGATTTTTTAGTATTGGTTCCAATGGCCATGCAGCATTCAGAGGAGGTCAACCTGGTGTCAATGTTGGCGCCATTTGTATTAGGAGGAATTGTCTCAATGGTTCTGATGCTCAGCAGTACCAGATTTTTCCCTATGGTGGGGATGGACAATCTGTCCAACAGCAGAGCCTTAACCCAAGTTTTGGGGCTAATGGTGCAACACAGACACTAGTTTTTCAGCTTCAGCAAAAGCAAAACCAGGACCCGACAGAAGACGGACAAGGATCTCCTCTTACCCTAGAGGAATGCACAGATTTGAGCCATGGTAGCTCAAGCGGTGTTCGCGCAGTGCGCTATCCAAGAATCCGACTGCAAAGAAGCTCTTCTCGTCAGAGGTTGTTGCTGGAGAAGAAAAACAGTGCAGACTTTCACACTATACAAGAGAGTCAAACAGATGTGGAGCTGGAAGACAAAAACAACTCTAATTGTTGTACTTTTAAAATCTGTGGGGAAAGCCCCAGAAGGCAGCCTCATTTCAAGATATATTTTTCCCCGGGTGGAGGTGGAGATCAGGATGCGAGTGCTGGCAGAGAGTTAACAACGAATAATTCCAAGGTAAAGATTATGAAAAAAGTTGTTTGAAACTGAAGCCTCCTTCTGAAAAATTTAGACAAAGAAATAAGTTTTTTGCTCTTCCTTTCTTTGTGAATATACATGGAGAGATTTGTGTGGTACAAGGTAATTGTGGTAGCATTCTGGGAAGTAAAGAGCACAGACACACAGTTGCTGAACTAAATTGCACCCACACTGGCTTTCCTGTACTTCATGACCACATGCATTTCAAGTTTCACACACATCAGCCAATTCACTTATGAAAGAAAAACAGGAACAGGCATGTGGATGAAAGGATAATTTGTCCCTCTGCACTTGTTGGCTTCTGTGTCACAGAAATGTGACACTTAAGTTTTGATAACACCCACAACTGCAGTCAGCGCTCTTTAAGAGTTAGCTGTTTCTATTTTTAGTCTCATTCTGGCTGTTCATGGTTGTTGATTTTAAGAACAAGCATGTCCTTACTTCTCTAGTTCTAGTCTGGTATGGAAATGTGTATTTGGAGCTGCTCTATAAACTAAGATGCAGTTACACCCCAAGCAAAGAGCAAGAAGTTTCACAGACAAAATGGACATTTCTATAGATTCTAAAGTCTTTAAATTTAGCGTTTTCTTCTTGCGTCATTTGCTCATCATGGGCATTAATGTCATTAATTTGGGGCTTTTAATGAATTATGTGAATTGTTACTTTATTGTTAAATGTTGAAACAACTTGTGACTTTAATAATTCTTTAAAAACAAGAATGGGGTGCCCAAGTTTGAATCTACTCTGAATTTTTATTTCATCAAGAGGGTTAAAATTATACATACAGTAAAACTCAAATTGTACACATATTTCCCACTAATATTTTGACAAATGTCCCATTTTAAGTTGCACCTTAACGATGTGTTGCACCTTTACTGAGTTCCTTGAACTTCTCAGTGTTCTGATTATTGATCAGTCAAACAAAAAATTCTTATCATGGCAAAGTGAAACTACTATCAACAGTCAATCATGATCACTAACAAGAAGTTCAAAGGGCTTGGCCTCATTAGGATATTCTAAAATCTTCAGCACCACTTACTAAAATTTAGGTGAATGTGTGTGTATATATTTAAGGCTGTATGAATAATTTGGACCTGCCTGGATTGGAGAAAAGTATAATTGTTGTTGTTGTTTTTTTACATAATCTAAGTTGTCCTTTGAGTAATTATTTAATCTTGTATAAACAACAGTTTAAATCACTCATTTAAACCCAGAATAATGACTTTCATGCCCATGATGAGTGTATGCAAACCTAAAGCTCAAGAGGTGCAGGAAATCTGTTCTTAAAGGTTTTGGTTTATTGTAATTTTGTATATTTTAACTCCTTTTCAAATATTGTATACTGTACAATAGTCCCTCGGTTATCGCAGAGGATCCGTACCCTCAAGACCCATGATGAGTAAAAAAAAACGCCAAGTAGGAATATTAGTACAAGCAGTAAGTAGTAGTTTATTTTTGTATTATTTATATATATATATATATATATATATATATATATATATATATATATATGGCGTTTTAAACCCTTCCCAAACTCTTGCAATCTTCTAAACAATGTTTCTAAAAGTTATAAAAGAGCACAGAATGTCATGATTTCAGCTCCCCGTCTCCTCTGCTTTTTGCCACCTGCAAGCGCTCTTGGCCACGCCCACTTCTCCACTCTGCACGATGAACAGCTGATCAGCTGCAGCAGGAAGTTTATCCTGCAGTTTGGGCTACACAGAGGTGAAGGAGGAAGCTTTTCTCTGTAGCTCTGGGCTGCACAAATGTGCAGCAGGTGCTAAATAATTTAACATGATTTATTTTAAATACAAATCCCATGCCGATTGTACGACTCATCCATCAATCAGCCAATTGTGTGTCATGTCCAATCTTATTTTGAAAAACCGCGATAGAGCGAGTCCGTGAAAAATGAACCTTGAAGTAGCGAGGGACTACTGTACTTTCCAGAAATTAGATATCATGAAGCTTTTCTCAGTTTTTAACTGAGGAAAAAAACAACTTTCCTAAAACCACAACTTTATTAGATTTTAATCATATAAATAATAGTTTTATGGCTCTTGTAGGGCTACTCTCAGTCCTTGTAGTTTGTTGAAAGTTTGTGTTTTAAGGAGGGACACAGACTCGTGCTTTTGTTTTGTTTAACTAATTACTTCACCCATCATAATAGCCAGACTAGACAACTTTATTGAAGTATCAAATAATAATGGTGTGCACTTGTTTGTATGTTTTAGATAAATCGGCTACAAATGGCTACATCAGAGAGCCATATGCTGATTGCAGCCCTGCCTTGACATTCAGCAAAAGTTAATTTATTTTGTCAAACAAATCCTGAAGGCCACATTGGATGACTGTAATTATTTGAGGCAGAGAGGGTTGGGAGGGGGGTTTGGGGTAGTGGGTTCTCCTTTTTTATTTTTGTCTTGTGACATGTGGCAGAGATTCAACTTTGTATTATTATGAGGGGCTTTTCTCTGTCAACTCTGATCTGTCTGAGTCGGATGCCATTGTAACTAAATTACAATGGCATCCAACTCTATTCAACAGAGACTACGGAGTAGAGCCTTTTGACACATCAGTGCCAGTCTGGACTTCCTCCAGGTTGACTTATGTCATACATTCTTATCGCCTTTTCTTTTAATGTCATAACTGCTTTGAGAACAGTAATTTTAACTAATCTCCAGGCATATATTAAGTGTTTTCACCTTACAGTGCTTAAAAAAGTTGGACTTATTATCACCTTGTGTCCTGAGCTGTCCTCTACCAACTCATTAACAATAAAATATTTGGGTCCTGTACAGATGCTGATCATAAAATTAGAATATCATGAAAAAGTTGATTTATTTTGGTAATTCCATTCAAAAAGTGAAACTTGTATATTGTATTCATTCATTACACACTGACTCAAATGTTCATTTTTTTATAATGTTGATGATTATTACTGACAACTAGTGATAACTCCAAATTCAGTATCTTAGAAAATCAGAATATTAAGACCAATAAAAAAAGGATCTTTAGAAATGTTGGCCAACTGAAAAGTATGAGCATATACAGTACTAAGTACTTAGTTGGGGCTCCTTTTGCCTGGATTACTGTAGCAATGCAGTGTGGCATGGAGTCGATCAGTCTGTGGCACTGCTCAGGTGTTATGAGAGCCCAGGTTGCTCTGATAGTGGCCTTCAGCTCTTCTGAATTGTTGGGTCTGGTGTATCGCATCTTCCTCTTCACAATACCCCATAGATTTTCTATGGGGTATTGTGGTATTCTGGTTTAGGTCAGGCAAGTTTGCTGGCCAATTAAGAACTTTGCTACCATGGTCCTTAAACCAGGTACTGGTAGCTTTGACACTGTGTGCAGGTGCCATGTCCTGTTGGGGAAATTAAATCTGCATCTCCATAAAGTTGGTCAGCAGCAGGAAGCATGAAGTGCTTTAAAACTTCCTGGTAGGTGCTGCGTTGACCTTGGACCTCAGAAAACACAGTGGACCAACACCAGCAGATGACACTCCAAACCATCGCCGACTGTGGAAACTTGACACTGGACCTCAAGCAACATGGATTCTGTGCCTCTCTTCTCTTCCTCCAGACTCTGGGACCTTGATTTCCAAAGGAAATGCAAAATTTACTTTCATCAGAGAACATAACTTTGGACCACTCAGCAGCAGTCCAGTCCTTTTTGTCTTTAGCCCAGGCGAGACGCTTCTGACACTCTCTTGTTCAAGAGTGGCTTGACATAAGGAATGCAACAGCTGAAACCCATGTCTTGCATATGTCTGTGCGTGGTGGTTCTTGAAGCACTGACTCCAGCTGCAGTCCACTCTTTGTGAATCTCCCCCACATTTTGGAATGGGTTTTGTCTCATAATCCTCTCCAGGGTGCGGTTATCCCTATTGCTTGTGCACTTTTTTCTACCGCATCTTTTCCTTCTCCTCGCCTCTCTATTAATGTGCTTGGACACAGAGCTCTGTGGACAGCCAGCCTCTTTATCAATGACCTTTTATGTCTTGCCCTCTTTTTGCAAGATGTCAGTGGTCATCTTTTGGACAACTGTCAAGTCAGCAGTCTTCCCCATGATTGTGTAGCTTAAAGAACTAGACTGAGGCCATTCAAAGGCCTTTGCAGGTGTTTAGAGTTAATTATAGCTTATTAGACTGTGGCACCAGGTGTCTTCAATATTGAACCTTTTCACAATATTCTAATTTTCTGAGATACTGAATTTGGGGTTTTCATTAGTTGTCAGTTATAATCATCAACATGAAAAGAAATGAACATTTGAAATATAGCAGTCTGTGTGTACTGAATGAATATAATATACAAGTTTCACTTTTTGAATGGAATTACTGAAATAAACTTTCATGATATTCTAATTTTATGACCAGCAGGGTGTTTGATGAGATTCCTTTAGTTAAACTGTTCAGTTAACTTTCCACAAAAGCTTTACTGGACTGCCATCTGATGAGTGTGTAGTTGGAGTGAAAACACTGGGCTTTTTGTTGTGTTTTTGAACAGCTTTTTGCTGTCCTTCAATGAGGCATAATGTCAAAAGCATATACGTATATGGATGTCAGAAGTCAAGGTTCCATAGTGTTGTGCCAAGTTGAGCATTTTTCACCTTTGGTCTTGACGTTATGATTGATCTGTGTATTTTGAGATGGTCTTATATTCTTTAAAGGTAAGAAAAGCTACGGTACTTGCATAAAACCACTGTATATTTGCAACTAATTATTGAGTTAAAGCGAAATGTTGTTGTGTTATCTTAACTAAAAGGTAGCAACCATAAACAGTTTTTTTTTTGTACCTCTGGCATTTTTGTGTCCCTCCGTCTGTTGCTTGCTCATAGCTTACCCCCACTCTGGGTCAAACCTGTTCCTGGAAGGCAGCTGTAGACTCAGATGTGACCTGTTAATAACTCTGTAATTGTACTCCTCTGCACACAAATAACCACTGTTTGAAATAATTGTTATGTTGAAGAAAGTGATAAGACAGACTTGTCAATGCGTCCAGGTGACATGCACTTTTCATGTCAAGATATACTCAGAGCATCTCTTTATTGTGCCGCTACTTACCTCCTTAGACATTTTAATTGAAATGACTTTAAATTTTAAAATGTAGCTAATATAGAAAAACAAAACAGAGAAGTTCTAAAGGAGTGGGAAAATACTGCAAATTTTCAGTCCATTCCTTTTTCCTGACTATTATATTATTTTTGTTTGTGAAGTCACTTAACTCTGACCTATGAGTCATTCAAACATTAAAATTGCACTTTACTCAAGGGATGATTTACTTTTCTGTTTACACACAAATAACTGCACAAATAACCTAATTTTAAGTTGTTCTTAGGTGCTTTGAAACTTGTACACAGTTACAAAGACATATTTTGTTGCAGTTTTAAAAAAAAATCTAAAATAAAAACTGAAATAAGAGGCAAGCGTTACTTTTGCCAAATGCCTGGATAAACAGTCATTCATCTGTTAAATGTGTAATTGAGAGGTTGTGATTTCATGTTGCAAAGTGCTAACTGACTCGTGGTAATAAGTTTATGATCAACACATGTATTTATGATATCTGATGTGGTTCCAGTTGTTGCTTTCTTTGACCTTTTGCTAGTTTATAACTGATTGTTTAAAATAATTGGAAGTTATGTAAGCAGTAATTTATAGGCATATTTCAAATGGTAGGAGAAAGCAGCTTCTGATGTAATTTTAAACACTTTTCCCAAAGAGGAATGGTTTACTGGGTGTGTCTGTGCGTAGATGGGTGCACAAAAGGCACTCGCAAGCGTGTGTTTACATTCTTTTCTAAAGATATGAAGTTTATATGTGACACATTTGTAACCATTTGTCATTTATTTCCAGGTATGTTAATTGTTGTGGGATTCCAGGAAGCTCATCTCCCATTGGTGCTTTAACTTTTTCCCCTTACATCACCAGATTAAAATAGTGATAGTACTTTACGTATTGTTCTTGGTTATACTACAAGCAGCCCGCTGTTTACAAACCAAACTTTACATATTGTTGTACTTGAGATGAAATTATCGTTGGGAAGACTAAAGGTAATTCTAAGAAGTAAAGCATCGGTTTTCAAATTTTTATGTGATCTTTTTAAATCCCCTTTATGAGTATTGTTAGGTTTCCTAGTCATAAAATACTAAATTTAAAGAAAACACTGAATTTTTCTTCTGTTATACATTAATGGTTTAGGGTCATTGAAGAAAAAAAAAGTGTTTATTTAGGTTTTTTTTGCCTTTGATTGACAATAATTGATGAATGTATGTTTTATTTATTTTTTTTAACTTTTGTCAGCTCTTAACTCCCCCACAATCAGCAGTTGTTTCACAACTCAAACCAGTTTGTTTAAGTTTAAAGCATTGTTTAACCCCAGCTTCTCTCCGTCAGATCAGTTTCAGCCAGCAACCGTCTTTGTTCATTTATGCCAGTTGTCTAAATGTTGTGTCCCGCACACAGGCTGCTTCCAAGAATGGGCTTTTTCACCTCGGACAGGTAATCAATCCTCAATCCTGGACAAACCTGTGGGCCTCTGAACACTGAAGCTCAAACCTTCCCTGGTTCCTCCCTGTTGTCACATCTCATCTGTCCTTTTCTCCCTCTGTCAGTTGACTTGGCTGCTACTTGGTGGCAGTGGGTTTTGTTTTTCCTTGCTGGGTTCACAGGATTTTCCTTCTATGAAGTAATCACAGGGGCCTGTCCATGAATAAAAACCTAGACTAAGCCTTCTGTTTGGACACCTGATGCTGACTGACAGAGGACGTAGGCGCCTGATTAATGAAAAACATGGAAGATTCTGAGTGTAAATTAACATGTAGAGGTGGATTTTAGTTCCCTAATTCAGGCAATGCCATTCGCGCTAACTCTTCCTACTTTGTAGCATTTTTGAGGATCACCCCCTGGGTATGAAATATAATAAACCCAACGATTTAGCCAATATGTAAACATAATATATTTTATTAGGTTTTTTTGTTATAAATTGTTTACTAAAAACTGATCTCAATCAAAAAGTTTTCAACTTCCCAGAATAAAAGATAATAATGATAATAATAGTAATTACTGCTCATTGTTCTTTTTAGGGATACATGATATTGGATTTTTGGCCAATATTCGATATGCCAATATGTTAAAACATATTTGGCTGATAACCGATACCAATACAGATGATTTTTTTTTCCTAGACCTACGTACAGAGACTACATAGCTTTCTCTGCTGTGGAATTAAAATACTACATTATTCTGCATGGTCTTTGTCAATTTGACCTCTACCAAATGCAGATGCCAAAAAGAGGCTGAAAATGATGTAACACTTCGACTTGGATTATGTTTAATGTCAAATTTATTCTCTCTAACACAATGACAACAGTCGAACAGTGCTAATTTGTAAATTTTCACAAATCTAAACTCAACCTGTTCACAAGCGACAAGTGAAAAGTGCATAAGTATTAGTGCATTAATAGATCTACTTGACAATTTCTTAAATTATAAATTAACTTAAAACCCAAGCCTTTTATATTGGTGAGTTATTTTTAATGAAATGTCCGATATTTAACTTTATCGCTAAAATCAGCCGATACCATGCTGCTAATATCGTTCATCCCTAGTTCTTTTGTTCTTTACAGTCCTGCGGCCATCTGAAATTCCTCAGGTCTTTACAGGTGTTCATATACAAGGCTAGAGGTTATTGATGGATAGTGCAGCCTGTTGTATAAAATAATCAAAATTTTTTCTGTTTCTGAGAAATGAAATGGTTTATCTCAACGCTGTGGTTTGCCCCTTTTTCTCCCTGCTGGAAAGTTCGGCCTTTACTGATGCACAGTCAAAAAACACGGTAAAAGTGAGCCTGGAAAGTTGACCTTTTTGTTCTCCTCTTACAGACAAGAGATGATTTTCTCGGGCAGGTCGATGTTCCCCTCAGTCATCTGCCGGTGAGTTATTTGCAGCCGTATGTGTGTGTTTATACAAAATGGCTTTTGTTTTAACTTGAATCTTTTGAACACTCAGCTGTTTCTTATCATTCGATTTTGCTCTGCCTGATTAACCCCCATGAAGGTCAGGCTGTGCCAGTGTTTATGTGCCTGACTCTGTGTGAGAAAATGCCAGCCCAGTAAGAAACATTTTGTTGTGGTGGTCAAACAGCACTCCTTGATAGAAATGGAAAGCGGGCAGTTGAGTACGGAAACACAATAACTGGTTATTAAACGTCAGAACCAATGGAAAAGCTACACTAGTCAGATTCACACACTCACTTGTACTTGGATTGCATTGAATGCTGGGAAACGGCTTTTGAAACATGAAGAATCAGTTCACACTGCTCAAGACAAGAACCAGAGATTAACCCTTTTATTACGAGCGCGTCACCAGCCACACATTTTTCACAATCCTTCTAGGTGGACATTTTGAGGCTTAGGTGGTAAAGGGCTAAGCCCCTCTACTTATTTGAGAAATGTAACCACTTGATCATTTCTCTCTGCAGTCTTATAAAAACAAAAGCATTTTAGTAAAAAAAAACAAAAAACAAAAAAAAGTGTTTGGTGTGATTTTTATCATCCTTTCTGGGTCTCACAGGTCAGAGAATCTGTAAATAAATAAATAAAAAGCTGTATCTGAGTCAGGCTGGGAAATGATGCAAGAATCTGTATTAAGAAACTATATTACTTCAGAAATGAGTCCATAGGTGTGTTTTCATTCTGTTCTTTTATGCATGACTATGCTTCGAAGAAATCTTTTCTTATTCATTGTTACTGGACATTTCTGAAGTCATCTCAGTTTCTCTCTCATAATCACTTCCCATAATGTTCTTTTTGTGAACCAGGATTGTTCTGCTGAATAATGAGTCAGCTTGAAGCTACATTAGCCACATTTGCCATGCTGAACTTTGACTAGTTCTTTTTAATACAAAATGCAGCGTGGCGTTTATAAGATACCCTTTTATTAGACCTGTATGTTTTATCCATTACGAACAGCTTTGATCAGTTCAGGTCAAATCGGAGCAAATCTGATTGTTTTTATGAAACTATTGATCAAAACTGCTCAATCTTTACAGAGCACTGTGTGGTTAGCTGCCAGCACGCACTGGTTTGGCCCTGTTGGAGAGCATTTTGAGATTGCGGTGTCTTTTTTGCTCTTCAGTTTGTAACAGGAGAACCTCAGTGTTGGGTAATGATTCCAAGAGGACTTTACTCTTGGCTGCACTTTAAATTAGTGACAGGACTTATTTGTGTTTTAGCTGTTTTTTAAATTTATTTTTTTACTTGAATGTACAATTTAATAACTTGTCTTCTTAATTTTTAGACTGAGGACCCGGCCATGGAGCGTCCATACACATTTAAAGACTTCCTGTTGCGGCCAAGGAGGTCAGTTTTTTTCTGGATCGATTCATGTAAAAAATACTCAAACTTTTAAAATAAATTTAGTAGTTTTTATCAATTTGCTAATAGAGTAGACAATGAGAGTGCACTGAAGTGTGTCCAGCACTGACCGTATGAGCTGTGGCAGCAGGAGTAGCCTCATATCAGTCAGATGCTGAGAGGGAATACATCAGGCTGTTTTGAAACTGGCCTATGCTTCAAGTGTGTAAAGCAGATGTTGTTTCAGTCACAAGTCCAGGGTGAAGGGGTACTTGCGCCTGAAGATGGCCTATTTGCCCAAACAAGGAGGACATGAGGAGGAGGCAGGAGAGATGAGGGAGGAGAGTGAGGTAAGGCCTCAGCCACTGCTTCTGTTGACTTGGTTTAAACTACTGATTTTATATTACCAAAGGCACTATATTGACTGTTTTATTAAAATGGCACAATTCCTGACAAGAATCAAGTTTTATAACTAAAACAACATAAATGTTCAACTTTAGACCAGTAGAAATGTATTTGGGGTGTAGGTGGAGAAAAGTCGACTTCTCTTTTTTTAATTCCGAGAATTAGGAACTCACATTCTTACCAGAATCTGGTAAGAATGTTTTTACAGGTTAGGGTCTGGAAAAATCATTTACAGTGAGGTCTGCTTTTTGCAAAAATAAGAATGTTGCTTCTTTTGCTTTGACTGCTGCATGTGTATGCATGCACTCACGTGTGCGTGTGTTATGCATTTTAAGAGTTTTTCATTTGAAGTAAAAGGCCTTAACGATAAGATAACATTCACTAGCCAGATGCTTCTGTCAAAACGTCACTAAAGTCAACTAGAGCTTAAAGCTAAGACAAATGAAACCAGCCACATATTTTATGTATTTTGACATTTGAATCTCCTCCTAAATTTGATACAGTGCTAAACTTTGAATAGTTTTACTGCAATGATCAATAATCATCTAATTTTAGCCTGCATTATAAACGTCTTTGCCCACTTTTTTTTTTTTCCATCTCAAGCAAACGTGTGTTTTATCTTTCAGGGTTGGGATGAGTCTGTGGATTCAGGCTCACAGCGGCCTCAGCAGATGCTGCCTCCTTTGCCTCCAGGCTGGGAGGAAAAGGTGGACAACCTGGGACGCACCTACTTTGTCAATCACAACAATCGCTCTACGCAGTGGAAACGGCCTTCTAACATGTACCTATGAACTATTTGATTTTTTTCTTCAGTTTAAGAACAGCTGTAATCTAGCATAAAGCTAGAACTGAATAAATCCGTTCTTGTTATCAAAGTGTTTAAAACCCCTTTAGGAATTCTAATATTGCTGTAGCTATTGGTTGCATTATATCTTTCACCAACATGGGATTATTTGATTTACCGGTACAAGGGCAGCTTTTGTAACATCTTTTGATTTTCAGGGACGTGATCTCAGAAATTGAGAGTGACAATCAGCAGCGACAAATCCATCAAGAAGCACACCGTGTTTTCAGAGCGAGGCGCCACATCAGTGAAGACCTGGAGAACGAACGCCTGGATTCCAGGAACATGGACAATGTGAGATTTAAAAAAATTGCAGACATCCTTAGAGTACAGCCATCATAAAACACACGTCACCAGATCATGTTATTTTATTTTTTTTAACTCTTTTAGTCTTGGGAGCTCATCACAGAAGAGGGTCTCAATGACAGCTTGGCCCAGACTCTGCCTGGTCCCTCCTCCGTGTTGACCCCACAGCACTCCCCAACACCTGCTGCTCAGGAGTTTTCTGAAGATTTAAATCTCAGGTTGTCACTCACTCCTGACACCAATGGTGAAGTGCCAGGACCCAGCTCCTCTCTGGTGAGACGAACACAAACTTTGTGTTATCTGCCTAAACTGTAGCAGCCAGATAAATTTGGCTTGCTCATTTTTTTTCTAGTCATAAAATGTTTGCTCTTTCTGTTTTACACAGAGCCAGCATTCAAACAGGCTTCGCTCCTCGAGTATGACAGATGGCGTCAGTGATCAGACCCAGGCTCCTCCTTTAATGGTACATACAATTGAACCCTTGAATTATCTCCATCCCACTACCTAATGTTTACCTTTTGTGTTCATTCTTACCTTGCTACCTTAGCAGGTCACTCCTCTTTGCTGACGTGTCTGAATACTTTGGGTGTATCACATATTTACCTTGTAGCTCGTTTTCTTGCATGTCCAATTTCCACCAAAGTATCTTTCCTGCCTCTTCAAATTTGACCTCTTTCTTACCGACTGTAAAGTAACCACTCCTTTTCCTACCCTCTCATTACTGATACTTGTGTGATTTATTATGTGCCGTTGTGTTTGATGTGTGGTAGAGATGTAGGCTCTACAGCCTTTTGACAGTGTCACCTTTCCTGTTGCAACCCTGGCTGGGGAGCAGAGGCTGAAGAAAACCCCACATCTGTTCAGACACAACCCACAGACTCCTCTAAGTCATAGCCTTGGTGAATATTCAGCTCAACAAAGTGTCTTATGTTCTGAATCACGTTGTCGCACAGCTGAGTCATAGTCCTAGCTGAGCATTGGCTCGACAAAACCACTGAACAGTACAGGCGTCAATGTCGGCTTTATTTTGACTTGCAGCTTTCTCAGGATCGTCGGAAATTCAGAATTCATCGCAGGTGATAAATAAACGCATGTTCTGCTTCTTTTAGATTTTGAAGCAGAGCTAAATATTTCCCAGAGAGCCATATTTAATCAGTTGGAACCGAAGAAATATTGACATGCAGTTATAGTCAAACAATTGAACATTAAACGTGTGTCATTGGTAGATGTGTAATTTAGTGTCATTTTCTGTGGCTTAAAAACATGACTGAATATAACATTTCACTGATCCAATTTATTCTACCTAAGAGTTTGTAATTTGGTTCACAGTGAAAAAACTTCTGCTAGATGAGACATATTCATGAGCTACAAAAAAACTTTGCTTTGCCTTTAAATTAAGCTTTGCTTGTTTTGGCTTGAGATTATATATATCTTGTAACTTGTGCTTTCTTAAAATTATTTGCTATTTTAAATGACAACATAAGCTAAGCTATGATCCTACTATGTATCCACATACGTTTTAATTATCAGTAGACACATTTAAGTTAGTTTTTATTGGAGCTCTTCACTCTTAAAGGGGTATCTGCAGCCATATGCTGCACATCATATTAATAACTGTTTAGTTTTTTCTTTATTAGTTTGTTAAGGGTAAAAAAAAAATCTGTCAAAGCTGCAAAATCCCTTCACTCCTCTTTAATGCAACTAAATTTGTGTTCTTTGGCTTCAATTTCATTTTCTTCTTGGATTTGATTGAAGAAGCTGCATTGGCTGTGGATAAAATGTTTATCCTCTCTTTTCATAAAGTGTGGACTGTCAGGACTTCTTAAAATAAAGTTTAATTTCTTACCATTTTGCCCTCTGAAAGTAACAGTGCTAATCTCCTTTTAAAATACTTTCTTGGTAAATTAGTTACAATAGAGGTTTCACAGCCACTGCTCGCTCTCACCATGGCTCATAATCAAAACAAATCAAAAGAATCTCCTCTTTCTGCCACTCCCCTCCTTTGACAAAGAATTCCCCATTTTTATTGTATCCATTCACTTTCCCCTCACTCACCTCCCTCTCACTCCTGCCCAAATATTTGCCTCCTCACTTCCTCTCTGGCTATGAAAACATGACATTCTATGAATTAAAGACCATGTTCCCATGTTGTCTACCACCAGCAGAGTTCGCAGACCAGAAGAACCAGAGCTCAAACAGTCTCAGGTGGTGAGGAGCCTATGGTAATATCTCAGTTTATGTTCAGTACAAAATTATCAATCAAACACACACACACACACCTTACTTTACAAATGCTGTTTTTATGACCTCAATAAATATGTTGGTGACTTTTTAAAAGGTTTTTCCTTTCTTAAAAAATACACAAGTGTTTTACTGTATGTCATTTATACTGTAAAATATTTTTGTTTTCTCGTAATTATCTACTGTTTTGCCTTTTTTATTAGTAACAACACATGTTGCATAAAACATTACGTCATAACTTTCTTTCTGAAACGGACCGCAGAAGTTTATATTCACATCCTTTTCGGCAGGTGACAGGTTTGTTCTACAAACTCATGAAGTCCATTTGTAAAAACTGAACAACTTCTCCTTTCTTTAGCTCCATTAGTGCTGATATCACCACGTGCTGAATGCTGGGTTATAACAGCTGTTACCTTTGGTATACAGTGATGTCTGTCTGTGTTGCCATTGGATTAAAAATACCAGAGATCACACATCATTAACATGCTGTAAAGCTGCTTTAGAAAATGGTTCTGCTGTTTTTACTTGGCTATAACGTTCTTTGATGTTTACGCATAAAATGGTTTCTATTTCGTAATGGTCTAGTCTGTTTTCCACGTGTTGTATTTAATTTAATGTTGAGCTTTTTGTCAGTTTATCTGACGTTTAATTACATATGCAGTTGCCAACTTTTCTTCTAGTTTTAGGTGTACAGGTGCTGGTCATAAAATTAGAATATCATGAAGAAGTTGATTTATTTCAGTAATTTCATTCAAAAAGTGAAACTTGTATATTATATTGATTCATTACACACAGACTGATATATTTCAAATGTTTATTTATTTTCATGTTGATGATTATAACTGACAACTAATGAAAACTCCAAATTCAGTATCTCAGAAAATTAGAATATTGTGAAAAGGTTCAATATTGAAGACGCCTGGTGCCACATTCTAATCAGCTAATTAACTCAAAACACTTACAAATGCCTTTATATGGTCTCTCAGTCTAGTTCTGTAAGCTACACAATCATGGGGAAGACTGCAGACTGACATTTGTCCAAAAGACGACCATTGACACCTAGCATAAGGAGGGCAGGACACAAAAGGTCATTGCTAAAGAGGCTGGCTGTTCACAGAGCTCTGTGTCCAAGCACATTAATAGAGAGACGAAGAGAAGGAAAAGATGTGGTAGAAAAAATGTGTATAAGCAATAGGGATAACTGCACCATGGAGAGGATTGTGAAACAAAACCCATTCCAAAATATGAGGAAGATTCACAAAAAGTGAATAGTAGCTGGAGTCCGTGCTTCAGGAACCACCATGCACAGACGTATGCAAGACATGAGTTTCATCTGTCGCATTCCTTGTATCAAGCCACTCTTGAACAAGAGACAGGGTCAGAAGTGTTTCACCTGGGCTAAAGGCAAAAAGGACGAGACTGTTGCTGAGTGGTCCAAAATTATGCTCTCTGATGAAAGTAAATTTTGCATTTCCTTTGGAAATCAAGGTCCCAGAGTGGAGGAAGAGAGGAGAGGCACAGAATCCACGTTGCTTGAAGTCCAGTATCAAGTTTCCACAGTAGTGATGGTTTGGGGCCATGACATCTGCTGGTGTTGGTCCACTGTGTTTTCTGAGGTCCAAGGTCAACACAGCCATCTACCAGGAAGTTTTAGAGCACTTCATGCTTCCTGCTGCTGACCAAGTTTATGGAGATGCAGATTTCATTTCCCAGCAGGATTTGGCACCTGTATACAGTGCCAAAGCTACCAGAACCTGGTTTAAGGACCATAGCATCCCTGTTCAAGACCCAACAATTCAGAAGAGCTGAAGGCCACTATCAGAACAACCTGGGCTCTCATAACACCTGAGCAGTGACACAGACTGATCGACTCCATGCCACGCCGCATTGCTACAGTAATCCAGACAAATGGAGCCCCAACTAAGTATTGAATGCTGTACATGCTCATAGTTTTCATGTTCATACTTTTCAGTTGGCCAACATTTTTAAAAATCTTTTATTTTATTTTTTTTAAATTGGTCTTAATATTCTAATTTTCTGAGATACTGAATTTGGGGTTTTCATTAGTTGTCATCAACTTTAAAAGAAATAAACATTTGAAATATATCAGTCTGTGTGTAATGAATGAATATAATATACAAGTTTCACTTTTTGAATGGAATTACTGAAATAAACAAACTTTTTCATGATATTCTAATTTTATGACCAGCACCTGTATTTAGTCGTACGACACCACTGAACAGTAAATGTCTACTTTTGGAAACTGAGAGGAAACAACGTAGTGTTTTAATGCCTGTTACAATGCCATGACATAAATAAAACTACATTAAAAGTGTGATTTTTATTTGAAATGCCAGTTGCTATCAGGTTATCTATTATTATCTTAAAATTACATTGCATTGAAAGTAATCCCCCCATGAGTCTTTGAGCTGTTAGCTTTTACTGATTAGTTGTTTTTGGTTTGCTTTCTTTTTACACTTGGCCAGTCTCCCTCGGCAGCTCCTTACACCTTGACCACCCCTGGCCTGCCCCCTGGATGGGAGGAAAGGAAGGATACCAAGGGAAGAACTTATTACGTCAACCATAACAACCGCACCACTACTTGGACTAGACCAATTGTGCAGGTACAGCAGGTCTGAGGGCTGGCTGTCGAGCTGGTTTCATGCAGGGTACTGGACTGTACCTTGCTTCCTGTCATGGCGTTGACCTGTGTGTGTTGGCCCTTGTGTCCTTTACCCCCTTCTTTGTTTTTTCTTTATATGTTCATAAAGCATTACAGACGAAAACTCTTCAAAGTTTCTTTTTCTGGCTTTCCCTCTGTCTAGTTTCCTGTTTTGTCCAAACTAATTGTATGTCTTTCTTCTCTTGTCTAGCATTTTGCTTGATATTGGGATGAAGTGCATTTTTATATTGTAACCTCTCTGAACCCTGGCATGGATCTGTAACAACCACTCTTCCTTCTCCTTTACTCACTTCAGCTCTGTTTTTGTGCTTGTCTACATCTATTGTTCTGTCTGTAAATGAGGCAGCTTCATGTAGTCTTCAAAACCAACACTGAGGGCATGAGTCTACATTTTTGTACTTTGAAATCACCCTTTTTTCCAATTTTTTTCCAAAAATCAGCACTTGTGTTGTACCTGTTCATCACCTTACTGTCTTTTCATTCTTCTCCTTGTACAAGAAAAAAAAATAGTTGTAATGTAAAGTTTTGTTTTTGCGTCGTACTGCAGTCACAGCCTATACCTGGTTTCTGTTTTGAAGCTAAAATTCTTCCGGTTTGTATTTAATGAGTTTTCCCTCCCATCTTCATGGGCCTTAGTGACTTGTGCTTTTGAAATTTTAGGAGCTAATTTCCTGAGAGTAAAGTTGGCATCCAGACCCTTCCGGTGCAGACAAGCATCTTTTGACAGAATGATTCATGACCAGACGAGGCTTTTATTTTGCTAAGCAGCACCAGTTGCCTTAATCCCCACCCAACCTAACCTCCAAAGTGCTGTTTTTACCGACAGCTGACAGAAGACGGAGCCAGCACCTCAGCAGCAGCGCCAGGAGGAGCCTCGGCTCTGGCACCTGCTTCTTCCTCCTCCTCCAATGCTTCCAACAACCACCTCCAGGAGCCCCAAGTCCGACGACCTCGTAGCCTCAGCTCCCCTACTGTTACCCTTTCCACCCCTTTGGAGGTGAGAATTAGACACCTTTACTATCCTGCTCCATCATTCCCCTTTTCGTTTTCCCATTCTCACCAGCAGGATGAACCTATTTCTGCCCTTTGCTTTCCTTTTATCCATATCCTCCCATGTTCTTTTTTCACACAGTTGAAGATGGCCAAATTAAAACCAACTCGAGACCAAGTCTTTTTACGTTAGTCTTTTTTTTTGCCTTTGATCATATTACATTTTACATCTGTTGACTCTTATTTTCAGGTTTGCCTTTTTCAGAAGCGTTTTTTTTTTTTTTTAATCATCGCCAATCATAAAGAAGTGTTAATCTCACCCTTTGTTTTCCCTCATCTTCTACATTTCTCTCTCCCACTGATAATGCTTGTCTGTCTTCGTGCCCTCCTCTTTTTGGTATTGTCAGTCCGTAATGAGCTGATGTCTGTGAAAGTGACCACAATGGTTAACTAAACTAACATTCACATAAATGTTAGAACCCAAGTTTTGAGAGAGATCACAGCACTGTCACCAGATAAATTAGATTCCTTGGGTTAGATACTTTTCCCCCCACATTACAGAAAAAAAAATGTCTCTTGACTTATTGTAAATCTTGTATCTCCTGATGTTCCACCTTAAAAAAAAATTCCACCAGAAGTCACAAGAAAATGATGATTTTTCAGACCTAGGGTTTTTTTTGTTGAACTGTTTTTGTATACCTTATATCAGGGCTATTCAACTGGTGGCCCAGGGGGCAAAGAAGGCCTACCGTTGAGCTCAGTTCAGCCCACCTATGGGTTCATTTTTAAACAAAACTAGATTTTAAACCATAAAACAAACATTCATTCACAATAACTGCTGGATGTCCGCCCCCTGTGCTCTTGGCTTTCAGTAACTTTATTTGAATAGCCCTGCTTTATATGTTTGACTGAGCTCATCTGCCATTAAAAAGCTGCATTATGTTTCATTGCTTTGAACTAACCTGAACTCAGTTTGTTGAACAGTAGCAATTGTCTCCTTAGCACATCAGGATTTATTTTGCAGCTGTGTGTTCACAGCATTATGCTTCTCATGAAACTCTTTTTCATGCTGGTTTAAGAGTGTTAATATTCACACAGCACAGGTGGTTAACTTGTGAGCCGCCTGATCCTTACAGGTAAACTATTGAAATTTCACCTTGTCTATTTGACCCTTTTAAGCCTTTCAGATCATGCAGAGAAAATATCTCGTTATTACAGCTTAAAGTCTTTAGTGTTCACCTTTTAAAGCAGAATATCACAATTCCGTACACTTTTATCTGATTTGAACATGATCTTAATCTTTGCAGAATTGAGGCGGATCATAAATAAACAAGAAACTTGGTTAATTAAGACCAACATGGTCTCTAAAAATGGATGACCTCTTTTTGACCCTTCCCTGCAGTTAATGGCTTTACTCCATGGTAAAGATCATTTACTTCTACCGAGTGAACAGACCTGAAGGGGCTTTAATTAAAGTGTGTTTCAGCGTTAACGAGACATTGTGGGAGTAAAAGGAAATGAAACATGAACAGAGGTTGATGTAATTACAACTTCAAGTGGAGGTGGAAGGTCGGTGATTAATGAATGCTTTTTCTCTCTTTTATAAAATGAGATCGGTCATAATTACTGCCGGGGAAAAAATGTTTGTTAGTGTGAACATTCAAAACACAAATCTGATCTAGTAGAAGATGTGGATACGTTTAAAATGATGGATTGTTCCTCACCCATCAGTCCTCCACCTTCATTGTGAACCTTCTCTTCTCGAGGTCTTTTAGTGAAATGAGGTTATTTTATTCCTTGTGTTTTATTATTATCAGGGGGCCAACAACATCCAGGTGCGAAGGGCTGTGAAAGACACGCTCTCCAATCCTCAGTCCCCCCAGCCGTCCCCTTACAGCTCCCCCAAATCACAACATAAAGCGCAGCAGAGCTTCTTGCCCCCAGGCTGGGAGATGAGGATAGCTCCAAACGGACGGCCTTTTTTCATCGACCACAACAGCAGGACCACCACATGGGTGAGTCAGTTCACTGAGCTGTGACCACTTTTTACTCTAAAAATAGAAATCTTGGAAAATAGAAGTAAAACTGCTGGTATGTTTATTTATTTTTATTTTTTTTTCTGAATGTAGTGTTTTGGGTAATATTTGATCTTATAAAATAAATGTAAGACAGCTGTTAGCCCTTTTCTTTACAGATTGTTTTAGTGACATCTTGTGGTGTAAAAGTAATCAAGCATGTGTTTCTTCATTCTTGGAATTAATAAGAAATATGCTTCTTGATTAGTAGTCTTTTTTTTTTTTTTTTATTGCCTTAATTTTGTTCCATTTTTGCTGCCGATAAACAGGAGGATCCCAGGTTGAAATACCCAGTCCATATGAGGAATAAGAACTCAATGGAGCCTGGTGACCTTGGTCCTCTTCCTGTAAGTACGGTCACAGATTGATTTACGTCTGTTTGGCCTCCAAAACCCATTCATAACGAGCTCAGCAATTCCTTAGCCTTGTTCACCCACCACCACGATTATTTATTACACTGCTTCTATAGTAATTGCTTTAACTGGATTAACTGCTTTTTGAAATAAACAAGTAATTGTTACATTTTAAAGCAATTTTATCTTCCATTGTGCTTTTTCTTACAGGTCGGTTCAATGCCTGTTTATTAAACTTTATATTTGTTAGTCTGATTAAAGCTTAAGAGATCTGGGGACGAACTCAAGAAAAGGTTAGGATTCACCTAATTTGGAGGTGAAAGTAATAAAAGCTCGAGTTTAAGAAAATTGCTTTTTAAATCAATCCAGAGCCTTTAGTATGGTTAAAAAGACTCCTCTGTAGCAACAAAGTAGCATGAATACACAACACTTTCTCAGAAATGTAAGTAACACAACTTGGAGAGCAAGAAATGTGGTTAGTCCAGTTGGTGGTGCATTTTTACAAGGCTCATTGTCAATGCCCGCCATCGAAGACGAGAGAAAAATGTTCTTTTTCTTCTCTGTGTGTTTGTTCGACTGTAGCTTCAGCAGAATTTCTCATGAACCACTGGACCACTTGTAATGAAACTGCCAGATAGTATTCATTGGATAAAGATCTTAGTACAGATTAAATTATTTTAAAACTCTGGTATGGAAATTGATGGGTGATACACATTTAGAATGCTAGACTTTTAAATATGCAAACATATTAGCTCTTTTAAACATAAACATAAAATGTTTGCTCTTAAAACCATGTTTCGCTGCTCATTGTAGGAGTTTCTCTGATTTTTTTATAGCTGTAGTACATTTACAACATATGTTAGCTTCTATGTGTTGCAGGAGTTAGAGGTTTTTATGCCACAAAGCTGTTACGGATCGTGTCATTAACGTTTTGATGGTATATCTGCTGGATCGTGTAGGTTTCTGGTCTACAGTGCAGATTATGTTGTAGTGTAGCACTTTCAATCTTTTTTTTTTTGTTTGTTTGTTTTGGTAAATCTGCAACAAATGAGCCAAACAGTACTGCAGCTAGGCGTTTCATGATTATTTCGAGTTGGAACACCTCGCAGGCTTGTGTGGTTGTGTGTGTGTGATATTTTTCTTCCCTTCTATCTCATTTCTCTCTGGTGGATCTAATGTACACTACTTCTTCTACACCTGGCCATGTCTGTTTGGCAGAACCTACCAGAGGAGGTTGGTTGGTGCCTCCCTCCCTCTGCCTGCCTTCCTACCCGTCTGATCTAGTTTGGTCAAGTGCCTGCAGATGAGCCTTAAGTTTTCTTTTCTTTCTCCCCTCCCACTATCTCTTTCTTTTTTCTCTTTCTCTGTCATGACCAGCATGGATGGATTGTACTTTTCCCTTCCTTTTGGTGTTTCACGCCACTGTTTCCTCTCCACGAGCGCCATCCCTGCATCACCACTACTTCTTTTGCTCTTCATGACTTGTAAATTGGAGACATTCGCTTTTTCTGTTGATCATCACCAACGTCTGAGACTCGTATAAGTTTGTAACGTGGAGCAAAATGAAATCCTCCAGGCATTTGTTAGAGGGAGAAATAGACCCAAAAGGAAGAAGTGATGGAGGACCGGGGAGTGAAAGAACAAGGGAGGCTCCAAAAGGTGCCAGAGGAAGGAAGTGACTGTAACCTGCATGTGTTGTTGGTTTTTGTTTGGTCCCCACTCTTTCAGCAGCAGCATACATAGAAACACACGCTTTAACACTTGATTTGGCAGATTATCAGATTCTCTTCTTTCTCCACCCATTTCATTTATTGTTGCTGGTGACTACAAGTGTGTATGTGTGTGGCCTGTGACACTATGGTGTTATTGGTGGTATACTGGTTGTAACCAGTGTTGGTGATAAACATTTATGTTGTCATACCCCTGCCTTGCTGATGTGTTAGGCCTGACTCAAATAGGACAGGAAATCCTTTTATTTCCTTTGCTGTGTTTGATTGAGCCTGCAGTGCTGAGATGTCAGCGTTCGACCGTCTAACGGTCAAGTTCAATTAAACATGAATCAAAAAGGAAAGCTAAATGGATGCATTTAAAATACTATTTGAGCACAGCTTGTGTGGTGGTGCTAAGTAAATGTTTTCCTCGTTCACCTTTTCTTGTTTCTTTTTCAGCCTGGATGGGAAGAAAGGGTTCACACAGATGGACGCACCTTTTACATAGATCACAGTAAGATCTGTGTTGATGTTCTTTATTTGTTTTCTGTTTTTGTGTCGTCCATTTTATAGGTATATTATTCAAACCCACTCAGAACTTAAACACCTAACCACCCATGTTTAATGTCCTGGTTAGAGTGGGGAAATTTAGTGCTTGAAGCACGAAACATTTACTTTTTACTGGAGGGACATCTAGAAGGTGACCTCCTTTTTAAACTCTGGAAAAGATATTTGCAATTTAAACGTCCTCCTTTTAGACCATTTTTTAAGTGTCTGACACCACTTGTATGATTACAACACTTACTCTGTAGTTTGCTTCTGTTTGTTATAAAAGTTTAGATATTTATTTGGTAGTTTCAGATGTTTTAGCTGTTTTTAAAATGAAAGAATTGTGAATTTGCCAAAGGATAAAAGTCATACAAGCAAACCAACACTTACAATGTTTTATATGAAGCAATATTTCCTTTGTTGCTGTTTCTGTTTAGATAAATTTAAATAAATGAATTTGTTCAAACTTCCAGTAAAATTATGACTAAACTGAATGAAATAGAAAACAGATCATTTATCTTTATGGAGGTAAATTGTTATAAATCTCTTGAATGGAATACACTTTGCTATAACCAGTGGTTACGTTCATTAGCTGTATTTATGTTGATTGTTTTCATTATAGTTTTTTTTCTATTTAACATGTATTCAAATTATATATTAAGTAGACAAAGTTTTCCTTATTTAAACTGTTGGATAATTTAATTATCCTAATATCAACTCATTTATCAAATAAGCCACACAGGATCCAAGAAGATCTTTACAACCCAAGTTTAATCGTTGCAAGTGGAGCAGCAATTGGAAACAGGCATACAAGATGTAATTCGTAGCCCTGATCACAAGGTCTGCTCGCAGACAGCAGAAAGGAGCATCAACTTATACGTTTATCAGAAAAGGCGAGGTCAAGACATCTCTGCTTTCCAGCTTAGGGGCCTTGAAGTTTATCAGGTGCGCTGGTCCTGTGTTCCTGCAGGCTCCACTTTGCTTTGTTCAGACAAAACGACTCTAACTTACACATATGGTTCTATATTAAAACATTAGTAAGTGAAAAACATCCATGACCTTTACATCCCTCATCATAAACCCAATGTCCTAAGATGACATTTCTGTATACTTGTTCTTATATGACTTGTGTTCAAATTCAAGTCTGAAATTCCAAAATTAAAACATGTCTTTTCCATTCAGATACAAAGACCACACAGTGGGAGGACCCCAGGTTACAGAGTCCAGCTATCACAGGACCCGTGAGTAGATTAATCTTTTATACCCACTTCGTGGAGTTTTTGCTCCAACAGTGTCTCCACTCCACGCAGTCTTATCTGACACAATACTTTAAGCTTCAGTATCAAGGAGATTAATCACTTTGTCACAGCAGTTCTAACAAAAACATGACTATCTTTAATTTGTCTGATTAAAAATAAAGATTTTATGTTCCATTTCAAATATTGTTTGCTTTTGTCATCAGTTTTTTACCTATTCATTACAGTTTTATGCATGTTGAGCTTGTTTATAACCTCTTCACTTCTATGCAGGCTGTTCCCTACTCCAGAGAGTTCAAACAGAAATATGACTACTTCAGGAAGAAATTAAAGAAACCGGTAAGAAATGATTCCATATTTAAGCATTTCTGGAAAACAAATAGTTTGTCTAAATATGGTTCAAACAGTAAGATTTTCCCCTTTTATAAGAGTTGGATGCAGTGTGCCCTATTTAGTCATGCTTCTAGCTGACTGACCACATTTTAGGTTTTTAATTTGCAACAAAGCAGTAGTTAGAATCTTTTCTCTAAACTGTTTCACAGGCTGACATCCCCAACCGGTTCGAGATGAAGCTCCACAGGAACAACATCTTCGAAGAGTCGTACCGTCGAATCATGTCGCTGAAGAGGCCGGACATCCTGAAGGCCCGGCTGTGGATTGAGTTTGAATCTGAAAAAGGATTGGACTACGGCGGCGTGGCTCGAGAGTGGTTCTTCCTTTTATCTAAGGAAATGTTTAATCCATACTACGGCCTGTTCGAGTACTCTGCCACGTAAGTCTCCACTTGTTTTAGTGCTCATGTTACAAAAGAAAGAGGGCCCTTTAGGCATTGAACAGAATGCAACACCGGATTTGGCGTTACGCAAAGCCAAAATAAGAACACGCTGTGATGAAAATGTCCTCTTCTCATATGTTCTGGACTTTCTCTACAACCTGTGATAAAAGGCGCCGCTGTGTTGTTTCCTCATGAGACTTGTGAAAACTTCCTCTTTCTTTGATTATCTTTTCCTCTTATTCTAAATCCATCCTGAAGCAAACGTTTCCCACACAAACCATCATTAGGGTGGATTTTTTCTCTGCACTACTGTCATTACATAATGACTCTGTTCATTATTTTAGACTGCGAGTGATCTTGAACAACAAAGAGGCTGTAAAAATGAACAATGATTCAAAAATAGAAGCATAGTTTAAAACTTTTAGCCTTTAAAGCTGCTTATCTTTTTTTTGTTTTAACATCGTAGTGCTGCAGCAATTCAGAACCAGAATAAGCTTCATTATCATTGTACCGGGATACAGTGAAATTATGTCCGTTGCGATAGATGAAGTTTTGTCCCTAGTTGCCCATGTCCCAGGAGAAATTTGATTGTCGGCTCGTATCCAAGGCCAAAAGGGAGAGTCCGATTCAGATAAGCTACATTTGTTGATTTTCTTCAAGCAGACTGTTTTTTTTATTGTCAGCCTTGAGTTCTGCTGGAACCTTTCCCGGTCCAAAGTGGCCAGATGGGTATTCCATTCCACTAATCCGTGTAATGACCTTTCCTCAAGGTCAATCCCAACATGCTGGCGAGTCCCAGAAGCCACAAGTGGCTTGCGATTCTCACAAATCGCCTCCATCTTACAGTTTAGCTCATAAATCAGCTGATTTTGAGGGCTCGAAGCACAAACTAAACCTTCACACAGACTCGGAAGCTTTGCTATGGCCGAAACTGCTTCCAATGTCTTCTTTAAAAGTTGATAAAAACAGAGCCCCGCCGATGCCAAAGATCAGAAACCCTGCTATCATAAATCCAAGTATATAAACATCTTCAGTGTTCTCCTGAGACAGAACTGAGAGACACATCAGCTGATCTGATGTACCCGCAGCGTGAGTCTCAGCCGTACAAGAGGGTTCTCCAGAACCCTGTCGTTTTGTTGAAAAGATTTTGTTGATGGCGTTGAAAGTCCAGCCCATCAGATCCATAATCATATTTTTTGTTTGGGAGATATGTACCAGGAGCTTCAAACACACACAGAGCAAAGCAGAAGGAAGAGGAGAACAGGGGGAGGGAGAGCAGAAGTGTCCGCCTTGAGCGAGATCCAGAGTATTAAATACAATTAAATACAAAGCTATTGTTGATAACTGTAGATATCGCAGCTTTTGTTTTAGTTTGTGAAACCAATTAAAAAATTGCATTGGGTTAAAAATATTTATTTACACTGTGTGGTTTTCTGGTCAGTCAAGGTCTTGACAATGGAACAAAAGCTCAGCCTGATTGTATTATTTGTTCTCAAAATAAATAAATAAAAAGCTAAACATTAATTTCTTCCTCTCTGGTTTTTGAATCATCTGATCAGGGATAATTACACTCTCCAAATCAATCCCAACTCTGGCCTCTGCAACGAGGATCACCTCTCCTATTTCAAATTCATCGGTCGTGTAGCAGGAATGGCCGTGTTTCATGGAAAACTGTTGGATGGTAAGATAATTGGTGCTCGTAGTTATCCTAAATACTGTATGTTTTTACTGTATATTCGTTCATTTATCATGTTTGAGAATTATTGTGGTATGTTATATGGTATGTTATATTGTGGTTTGAAGCTTTTTCTCACGCACAGTATCAACACTCTTCTATTGTCGTAGGTTTTTTCATTCGACCGTTTTACAAGATGATGCTGGGAAAACAGATTTCTCTTAAAGACATGGAGTCTGTGGTAAGACCTCATTCTCACACATTTATTAGATTTATTTGTTAAGGTTTTTGTTAGTCAGTCAGCAGCAGACAAGTTTTTATGCGATTGGAATGATTCTTTGTCTATAAACTTGGTCAAATTGTAAATGATTTATCTGTACTCACAGGACAGTGAATACTACAACTCGCTGAAGTGGATTCTGGAAAATGATCCCACTGAGCTTGACCTGAGGTTTTGTATTGATGAGGACAACTTTGGACAGGCGTGTAGACCCCTTTGCAATCAGCCAAGACCTCGTGTGTTGTTTTGGTATCAAGAGTAACCTTCATCTTTTTTGTTTTTGTTCTTCAGACGTATCAGGTGGATCTGAAGCCCAGTGGCTCAGACATGGTGGTTACCAATGAGAACAAGAAGGAATACATAGAGTAAGTCTTATTTTACTCTTTAAAATGACTTTTTTTTTTTACTCTTTTCATATTTTTTTTTCCTCTTTCAGCTTGGTCATCCAGTGGAGGTTTGTAAACAGAGTTCAGAAGCAGATGAACGCCTTCTTGGAGGTATTTATATGCGGTGATACATTACCACATGGTGGCAGTGTAACCACAGATTATGTTGTTCATATAGGTCTGTTTTTGAATATTATCATTCCTTATCCATTAGGCTTTCTTCTACAGTTATTCACGATTTCAGTACTTAGTGAATTGTTTTGATTTTGTCCTAATTTTCAGGGCTTCACTGAACTCATTCCCATCGATCTGATCAAGATCTTTGATGAAAACGAACTGGAGGTATGGATACCTCAAAATTACACTGCAAAATGTTCTAAATAATGTTTACTTAAGATTATTAATGCCCATTTGAGAGCATAGTTCATCAGTAGTAAAATAAATGGTTTCGAGTTGTTTAATAATGACATTTTATTGTTACATTAGTATACATTTACTGAATAATTTAATCAAGAACAGATTAACATAACATGACCAGTTAATTTAAAATAAAGATATTCATTACAGAGATATTCACATATGTCATTACGTTTTATTTATATATTTTAAAATACTATTCTCCCTTTTATCCCGTGAAGCTGCTCATGTGTGGTCTCGGTGATGTGGACGTCAACGACTGGAGGCAACACACTGTTTACAAGAACGGCTACTGTCCCAACCATCCCGTCATACAGTGGTTCTGGAAGGTTTGTTTCATGTTCACGCACAGATTAATAACTACATGCAGAATCATGGATAGGAGATAATTAGAGATGGGATATAATATTAGCTGTAGATACTTATAATGCAGCGATAAAGTACAATATTCTAAAGAAATAGGTTTACAAATACTTATTGTGCTTACAAGGTAGTAACTTGGTCTGAAATGTTTAATATAACAACTAGATGAAATATTTAGGTGAACAAATTTGGCTCACTATTTGGCAAGAAACTAGTCAGTTTAGTCACTGTCCTCCTTAATTAATGCATAATAAGCAGTTATTAATGATTTATAAAGTGTTTATAGAGGCATTAATAACATATCTATAAACTATTTATTAGACATCTATAAGGGGAACCTTATTGTAAAGTGGTACCCACATTTGGCTGCTGAACCACCATGTATTTTGTTCAATATGTGGTTGGCAAACGAGTCTTTTCCTGGAAACTGTCATGTGAAAGGCAGCATACCTTTAGTTTTGAGCAACTTTTAACCTCTTTATATTTTACTTACGAAGACTGTAAGAAATCCTGAGCAAAACTTCTTGTGACATTCTTGGAAAAGCTATGTAAATGAGGACCTTAAATTAAATGTTATACCCAAAACACTTTCAAAGGGGACTGTATTTTAAATACAGACATGGGAAACAAGAGACAAACAAATTTAAAATCCTTAAAGGTACAAGTTTAGGCTCCTTTTTTTTCTTCTTCACTGAGTCGTAGTTCAGTGGGAAATGGCTCAGTGACAAATCAAAAAAGGAAAGTTGTGAAGTGTAGCAGCTTCTTTAGAGCGCACGTTGTGCAGAAGCAGAATGTTTCATGATACGAGCCGAGTCCGGTCACGTTTCTGTGCGTTCGACCTGCGTCAGATCTACTGGCCTCATTTTTGTCGATCAAAGTCTATTTGGAAGAACGAGCATGTTTGCTCTGATGAAAGAGCCTAAAGCATTACCTGTCCTAGTTATTATCTTGAGCCTTAACAGACTTGCACACATCAAACACACTTCTGTTTGAATTTGTACTCTCACTTCTGGTTTTTCACAAGATCATTGTGACAATACCGTACATTGCCCAACTTGTTACCCAAATCTATGCTTTCACAATTACATTAAACTGACCCCGACACACTTTGCAACGTTTACTCTTTGTGCATTTACACTAAATTCTTGAAATCTACAAATTAATAGATATAATATAATCTAGAGACTGAGCATAAATTAAAATTCAACTTCTTATGTTCCTTTCACACTGATTTAGTAATATTACTAAACGAAAATGTATTCTGGTGAAATGTCAGTCATTCATTCTTTTCCCGTCCTTCTACTTTAGGTTGTACTATTGATGGATGCTGAGAAGAGAATTCGTCTCCTCCAGTTTGTTACAGGAACGTCACGAGTTCCCATGAATGGCTTTGCTGAGCTTTACGGTATGTGACCAGTTCGGTCATTGTGTACAGTATAAAGGGAATTTATCCAAAAGTATTATAAAAATAAATCAGTATACAGTAGTCCATTAAATTCAGTTTAGTTTATTTATATAGCACCGAGTCACAACAGAAGTCATCTCAGGACACTGAACAGATACGTTCATATATAAAAATAATACTTTAACACTATTTATCTGAGGAGCAGACTGCTTTGAATTTAACTCCATCCCAGAACTCTCATCTTGAGCAAGCATGAAGGCGACAGGGGAAAGGAAAAACTCCCTCATGAGGAAGAAACCTTTAGCAGAACCAGGAGTCCATCGTTTATCGCGGGGGATCCGTACCCTTAAGCCCCGCGATAAGTGAAAAACCTTGGAAGTAGGAATAGTAGTACAAGTATGTATGTGTATATATATA